CCGCTCGGCCCGCAGGCCGGCTGCAGGTGCCATGCGGGAGGGCCATCCTGACTTGGAGCGTGTTCGAGCGGTGGCAGTGGGAGCCAGACGAGGACTGCGCCCTCCATCTTGCCTTGGGTCCTCCATTTTGGGACAGAGCCGTGTGCGCCCTCCATCTTGCCTTGGGTCCTCCATTTTGGGACAGAGCCGTGTGCGCCCTCCATCTTGCCTTGGGTCCTCCATTTTGGGACAGAGCCGTGTGCGCCCTCCATCTTGCCTTGGGTCCTCCATTTTGGGACAGAGCCGTGTGCGCCCTCCATCTTGCCTTGGGTCCTCCATTTTGGGACAGAGCCGTGTGCGCCCTCCATCTTGCCTTGGGTCCTCCATTTTGGGACAGAGCCGTGTGCGCCCTCCATCTTGCCTTGGGTCCTCCATTTTGGGACAGTGCCATGTGCTTCTTCACCGGAAAAAGCCGTTGCTAGACCCACCCAGGATTTCTCTGGACTAACCAATAATAATCAAGGGAAGTGCACGCCATCACTATGACCACATCCTGTACCGACTCACGCCTGGCCAATCAGCGGGGCCCACAGTCCCCTCTCTTGCCCTCATTCCATCCCCCTGTATAACCCCCTGTCCCATCAGGCCTCGGTCTCTCGGCCAGTGGACTTTCCGCTGTGTCGGTGGGTCTGGTGAACTGGGAGCGCAACCCGGCTTGCATTAAAGACTCTTTGCTTTTGCATCGGACTGACTGGCTCCCTGGGGGTCTTGGGAACTTTGAAATCTGGGCACAACAGGTACCTAGTTTATGGTGTTAGGAGGATGCACCTGGATGGCCACAGAAAGTAGAAAACTGACTACAAGAGCTCAATAATGTTAGCCCTGAAGAAGTAATGTATCTTTTTTTTTTTTTATGGAACTCCCATCTGACCCAGTGATCCCACTTCTGGGAATATATCCCAAGAAACTAGAACCACCAATCAGAAAGGATATGTGCATCCCTATGTTCATAGCAGCACAATTTACCATAGCTAAGGTTTGGAACCAGTTTAAGTGCCCATCAGCAAATAAGTGCATTATAAAACTGTGGTACATCTACACAATGGAATGAGGGTGGAGGTAAGGGGAAGAGGTCAACCAAAGGACTTGTGTGCATGCATATAAGCCTAACTAATGGACACAGACAACAGGGGGGTGAGGGCATGAGTGGGGGAATGGGGGGATAAGGATACATATGTAATACCTTAATAAAGAGAGAAAAATAATTTATAGATATTTTTCTACTAAAAATAGTATATTTTCCCCATTTCTCTATCTAGTTGCTTATTACTAGGCCAATAAAACAAATTAATGTTATATTTCTATCTTATATTCATACAGAATTCTGTTATTGTGGTCCCTAGTTTTGTAGATAAATGAAATAAACATCAGCAAATGAAAATCAAAAAAAAAAAAAGTAATGTAAGCTCCTCAGCTCCAGGCTGTAAGCTCCTCAACTCAGCTTTTTCGTTCTTGTGGCTCCATCACTACCTCAGCTATCTGACAGCACTGTCCAGTAGAACTTTCCAGTGTGGTAGCCACTAGCCACATGCAGTTATTGAGCACTTGAAATGTGGTTAGTACAGTTTTGGAACTGAATTTTTTATTTTACTTAATTTTAATAAATTTAGATAGTCACCTGTGGCTAGTGGCTACCATACGGGTCAGCAAATGCTTGTTGAGTGGAAAAAAGAATGAATGCATAGTATATGGGTCCGGGTCGGAGAGAATGATGAATTGAGAGAAGTGGGAAATACAGAGGAGGAAGAGAACAGTGGGCTCAAGAGTGATAAATGCCCTAAAAGGCTATCCATTCTAACCCATCCAGTGCTCGCATTCCTTCTCGTTGCATTATATTCAGAAAATCTTGTACCCATTGGTCCTTAGCTCCTTGGTGCTAATCACTCTACCCTAAAGAATCCAGCCACGTTGTTATTGTGGCTGTCTTTTCCCCAGAGCTTTCCATTTTCAGAGCCAAATAGCTCTTCATAATACAACTTGCCAGTGGTGTTTTGTTAGCAAAGCTGCTCAGCTTCACCTATGAGAGGAGTCATCCTGTACCTGTACCTGCCTGTTGTGAGGGTTAGGATGGTGTGTGCAGAGGAACTCAGCATGTGCCCGACATTTTAGAAGTGCTCAATACATATGTGTTATTGTTGACAAAGAAACATGCTTTGAGAATCGTGAGATTTATTTTAGTCAAACAGGCCTATAGGGAGAAAGCAAAGAGGAAGGGTGCTCTCTGAAAAACAAGGGACTTGATAGAGTTACAGCATGAAGTTAACGAGATCAAGATGGTGAATTGTACACACTGGCACACTAATGACTATTATAACTTAGAGGAATAAGCCCAATTTCTTAAAACATTCTAACAAGTGCAGGTTTCTATAACAAACATAGTAAATTTATTTTCTCACAACAAACATGAGAAATAGGATTTGGGGGAAATCCTATCTTCGAGGTAAGTATTACATTCTGTTAGGAAATATACATTTAAAAAGCAAATTCCCTGCCCTGGTGATGTTGCTCAATGGTTAGAGCGTCAGCCAGCACAAAGAAGGGTCTCGGCTTCAATTCTTGGTCAAAGACATGACCCGTGCCTGGGTTACAGGTTAGATCCCGGGGGTGGTGGGATGGGGGGCAGGGTTGCGTGCAGGAGGCAATCAATCGATGCTTCTCTCTCTCTGTACCCCTCCACTCTCTAAAATATCAATGGAAAAAATATCCTCAGGTGAGGATTAACAACAACTAGAAAGAGTACACTGGCTGAATAAATGTGGTACATAATACTTGTAGCAGCCTTGAAAGATTGAATATAGTGAGCTCTCAGTAAGTATCAATGAATAAATCAGTAGGTCAAGGGTCAAAAGTAATTTTCCATACTGTTTGGTTCATTCATTCAGAAGTATTCTATGGGAATATGATGGTGAGCACAAACAGACCCAGGTAATTTAGTCACAAAACACACAGTCTATTAAAGAGATTAATTTTTACAAATTTCAAAAAAGGGTAAAAGTAGTATGAGTTGTTAAGAAAAAGGACACTGTTACAAGGTTCTAGGATGATTTGACCTAGTCTAGATCTAGAGTAAATAAATGTATTACATGTGTATATTAGTAAGTACATTGAAAAGATTAGGTTGGACCTATGCCAAATCTAACAAAGGCTCTTGGTTGTAAAGACATTATGTGTGATTTATACTCTTTACATGACATCTCTGTATTATTTGGAATTTTCTTACAATAAGCTCTGGTAATCAGATAAAGCTATAGCGCTATATATATCTTAAGTTCAGATAAATAGCTTTCACACTATTTTGGTGATTCTCAAAAGGTTGGGGAAAGGGTGAATCTGCATGCTTGTTTGAAAGGGAAAAAAAGTGGTAGAGCTAGAACTACTGGGCAGTATTCTTAGTGGCCCAGCCCCAAAAATTCCCCTAGTGCTGTGGTCGGCAAACCGCGGCTCGCGAGCCACATGCGGCTCTTTGGCCCCTTGAGTGTGGCTCTTCCACAAAATACCATGTGTGGGTGTGCACGTACAGTGCGATTGAAACTTTGTGGCCCATGCGCAGAAGTCGGTATTTTGTGGAAGAGCTGGTATTTTGTTCACTGAGTGCACTTACCTCCCAGTTAGTTGATGAGTCGCTAATCTAGACATTGCTGTTTAGAGACTTTTCAGAAGTAATTAAGTCTGTAATCAGTTGACTTTAAATTAGAGAGATCATTATAGATGGGCCTGACCTAATCAGGTGAGCACCTCAACTAAGAGATTGAAGCAGAAGACACTTCTGCTTGCCTGCGATGAGCGAATGACCACGTGAACTGCCCTGTGGCAAGGCCCTGAGCACAGCCTCTAGGAGCTGAGAGCAGTCCTCACCAACAGCCAACAAGGAAATGGGGACCCAGACCTACACAAACTGAATCCTGCCAACAACCATGGCACTTGCCGAGGACCCAGCCCTCAGATGAGGTCACAGCCAGGGCCAACACCTTGGTGTCAGTCTCATGAGCCCTCACCCACACCCAGACTCCTGACCACAGGAGCTGAGATAATACATGTGTGTTGTTTTAAGTAAGTTTGTGATAATTTGTTATTTTGGGAATCAAAATTGCTTATCACCTGCCACCTGGTATACTTGTCTCCAACCTGATACCTAGGAATTTTTTAAAAAATGTTTTTGCTTAGAAATGCTCTACTGTCCTTTAAGGAACTAGATAATGAAATAAAACTTGTGTCCAGGACAACTATGTTTCATTAATGTCCTCTTGCCCAGAAACTTTGTTTTCTCTCATCAGTGCAAAGCAACTATACAACATTGACCTTTCCAGAAATACTTGTGTCAGTCTTTCCTGGAGGTGTAACTAAAATGGCTGTGAGCATTTTCTGCCCTCTCTCAGCAGCGTCACCTGCAGAGCACGTGTGGACTGTTCTGTGCATGAAGCTCTCCAACAGGTGGGCTGTGATCAGCCTTGAAACCTGGCAGTAGTACTCCACCTCACTGCGTATGAGAACCACCTGGAGAACTTTAAAAGCACTGATTCCCAGGCTCTTGCCCCAGACCTACTAGTACTGAATCAAAGTTTCTGGGGTTGGGCCAAAACAGTAGTTTCAAAAAGCTTCCAGGTGATTCTAACGTGCTGCAAGGATGAGAAACTGCTGGCGCTTACAGCAGGACTTCTCCAATGTCAGTGTGGGTACAATGCAAGCCCCCTGGTCTTATTAAATGCTGGTTAAGTCCAGCAGGGCTGGGGTGGGCTCGAGATGCAGATTTCTAGCTCCCAGGGATGCAAGTGCTGCTGGGTCTGGCCGTGCTCTGAGTAGGGAGGGCTTATGGGCTGGCTTTTCCAGTTATGCATGGGAGTCTTCCCTCTGCTGCTGCTTCTGCCCTGCCCTCACGTTTTCCTCCTTTTCTCTCCCCTCTCCTCCCTGGATGTTGTTTTCTTCCTAGGACCCTCCTCATTCTCTTTTAATTACATAATTGGGGTCAAAATCTAAAGTCGTACTCTCAGGAAAAGTCTTAAACTCTTTACATAAAGCCTGGACGCTTCACACAAGTGAATAATTATCTCATTCATTTTAAATAAGGTACTTCACATTAATTATTAACTTGTAATGGCCAGTTATTTTTCATTTCTAAAAACCCCCCAACCAAGATAAAATAAGAATTTTTACTTAGAGGAAAGAAAATTACATCATAAACTGCAATTGAGTATGGAATTGATGGTTTGCACCCACTCCTTTTAGAGTATGAAGCTGAGCTGCCTCCCTTCCCAGAGGGATACAAAATCAAACAAGAAGCCATGATTACCGTGAGTATTGCCCCACCTGAGCCTTCAATGAAAAGCTCTCAAGTGAGAACAGTACTGATAGCTGGGGACTGTCACACAGTGTCATGAGTTAGGAAAGACACTGGAGCTAGAACCAGGAACATGGGCCAGTCCTAGCTCTGCTTCTAACAGTGTGACTTGAAGGGCACTTCATGACCTCTTAGGCCTCAGTTTCCACATCTGTTAAATGGATCGGGTAATGCTAGACTAATTCACAGTGCCTCTGTGTGGCTCAAATGAGATCCTGGGTAAGAAAGGCCTTTACAGTGGAGTCACCACATGTCCATGTTGGGGACAGTTGCAGAGAGCGCAGTTTTCCCCAGGCGTGCCCCAGCAGGCAAGAAGACACCTGCATTAAGGAACGAGGGCGAGAACAGCAGCCTGGAAGAGGCCCTCACGCAGTCTGCTTGGAGCAAATAGGAACTTAATGGAGTTTAAAATAAAGCAAGACCCTGCGAGATGAAGGGACTTCAGCAGAGTCACAGGAATGGACCCAAACCTAAGACTAGATTTTCAGTCCATTACTACAGCTGCTGCTGTCACAGAACCTTGTCTAAGAACTGTCTTGGCCTGGGATTGTTCTTTTTTCAAGGCGTCCTGTTCTTGCTTTATGGATGCACTGTTTCTCACATTTCTCTGCAGACACTAACCACAGTCCCTTCCCTGAATTATTTGTGCTTCTTCCCAGGTCAGTTGTTCTTTGTAGATCTTGATCTTTGTCGTTTATGCTGTTGATGTTCTTTATCTGTGTGGGAAGCTTTGACTGTTTATTCAGAAATTAAAATGGGGGTCTGAGTGGATTTTTCTATCTAGCTGGTATGGTTTTCTTCTACTGTTGTGCAGATAGGTTTGTTTTCTAGATACATCTGTTCTGTGAGTAGAATCACTGGCTGAGCGCTCACGGGGAGTGCCTGACACTGGAAGACTTTTATTCAGGGTCCGCAGGCAGGGAGCCTCCAAATGAATGGTCCATTGTTTTTAATCTTTTGACCACCAGCATGGCACCCTGAGTAGTTCTACTCCTTCCAAGGCTGTTTTTTAGATTTGTTTTTAGAAGAGCCATTGGAAAGGAGAGCTGGATAGAAAATGCTGCTGTGAGCCTAGCTTTATACATATTGAGGGGGCAGAAGCAAGCAGAGGGGAAATGTGGGCAGCAGACCAGTGGAGGCCCAGCCAGATTTTCACTTAACCCTCTTGTTCATTACCATCCCCTTTTCATTCTCACCCTCTGAAGACTTGAACCCTGAGCATGAAGCCCTTGGGAATCCTGGTGGGAAGATGGACTCCCGTCCTCCAGGCAGTTTCAGACTGTGGATTCTGGGCGGCTGCTTTCCCTCTCTCTTACCTGATGACAACATTAATTCCTGTTTCTTCTGGAAATGTTGGCACATCTCTCATCCACTGATGGTCCTCATATTCTTCTATTAGAGGAGTACTCTTCGTTTGCTATTTATGGTCTCAGGAGGGAAGAAATATAAGACTTGTGCTTACTATGCCCCCTAGAACGTAAAGTCTGATGCAGAATTGTATTCCTGTGTTAGGTTATAAAAGAAAATGCAATTATTTAAGCTACAGTGGGGCCTTGACTTACGATTGTCCCGACTAACGAGTTTTTTGAGATACCAGCTGTCTCTCGGCCGATTTTTTGCATTGAGTTGATAGAGTAATTTGAGTTAATGAGCTCCTTAACAAGCTCGGTCTTGGAACAAATTAAACTCGTAAGTCAAGGCCCCACTGTATTTATATGAATTGATTTTCCCCACTCCTGCAGGTTTCACCGATGGAAGAAACACTTTTCCGTGGCTTCAGTGCAGAGCACCGTTACCCATTTCCTCAATGGGCCACAGACTCACACATACCTTGCACTCAAATCAAATTGGAAACAATTGATCCCAAAACCTGTAAGTAAGGAAGATTTCCTCTTTCCTAGTTTGGAGTTTGTAACATTGCAAAACCACAAGGTGGGGTTGGGATGGACAGACAGAGAGACTACGTAAATAACAAATGTGTTCTTGTTTTAATTATTAAAAGAAGTAGCCTTGTTCCATTGATTTATCTTTAAGGTTGAAATATAATGATGATAAGTAGCTAGCATACTCTGATTCTGTGTTAAATACAGAAGGGCAAAAATGTGAGAAGTAGAAGAAAATACCATGCTGCCCTGCTTTGTGGGTTGAAGCCAGAGACGTAGGCCTCCTGCCTGTGCCCCAGTTCCTCTGGGCCTCCTGGGGCCAGGACCTCTCCTACTGCTTTGTTCTGTTCTCTCTGCTTTGGGACTTGGCAATCAGCGCCATCATTACCGTGGCCATGGGGCTCTCTCCACTGTACCCTCTGTTCCTCTCTGACTTTAGTTCCCCCCACGTCCTGTGCTCATTTCCCCAGCCTCACTGGCCTGGCTGTGCCTGTGGCTCTGGCCCTGTGTAGTGCCTGGCCTGAACCCTCAGTGGACCACAGAGGTGCCCCACTCAGCAGCCTCAAGTAATACTAAAGGCCATGTTATTTCCTGGACAGCTCTTTTTCTGGTTCAGAAGTAAATGTTTCTCCCAGATTAACTTGGTCATAAACCCTGAGAAAGAAGACACCTACTAAAAGGGTTCCCAATAGCTAGCTGGGCTCAGATGATAAAAGCAGAATCCAGCCGCCATTGCTAAACAGGGGGCCGCTCACACAAGTCATGCTTTAGGGAGAAGATTGCACTGGAATGCCTACCTCCACCCTGAACTGCCTACCTGCACTGTTTCTGCTAACCCTTATAAAGGAGTTCCTGGGATCCTATTTCAACCCATAGCACTGAGGCTTTCCCCATCCAACTGGAGCTGTGTAGCCCCCACCAACCAGACCAGCTCTATTCTGACCAATCAGGGCAGTGCCTTTTGGACCAATCAAATGACAAGTATTTGGATCCCTCATTTGCATGAGGACAGACCAATCAGGGATCAGGGTCTGGGACTTCTGTCTATAGAAGCCCCTCTGGCTCTAAGAGCCCACTTTCTCTTTACACAGAAGGCTGAGTGTCCCCAGCTGAGTGGAAACACCAAAGATGTCTCACCTGAACAGTGCAGAGCAGAGCTGTCTAGCCAGAAAGGGACCTGGCCCCAGGCTGCCCCACAGCTATGCTGTATCACAATTGTTTTGCACTGAATCAAGTTTTCTTCACTGCACCCCCAAGGACCATCAGGTTGACAGCCCTTTGGGATCTTCAGCTGGACATCTTATTGTTTGTTTCAGGTTCCCCCAAAGAATATTTGGAAACGTTCATCTTTCCAGTTCTGCTTCCCGGTATAGCGAGCCTGCTTCACCAGGCAAAGAAAGAAAAATGTTTTGAGGTCAGTGGTTTTATTTCTTTACTAGAGGCCCGGTGCACAACATTCGTGCACTGGGAGTGGGGGTGGGTGATCCCCTGTGGGAGCGCACTGACCACCAGGGGGCAGCTCCTGCATTGAGCGTCTGCCCCCTGGTGGTCAGTGTTCATCATAGTGACCCATTGTTCCACTGTTTGGTCAATTTGTATATTAGCCTTTTATTATATAGGATTTGTAAATATTCATTTTTATCATATGATAACTCCTTACCTCAGTACCTTCAAGTGGTTGTTCTCAATACAGTGACCCCTTTGAGAGTGAGAGCCTGTGTTTAGGGTCACTCAGCTCTAGCCCTGGCATGGAGTTGTGCACACACATGCCCTACCCTCTGCTGGCCACTGGTTCTGGGGGGTTACTTGCCAGGTTTCTTGGGCCTACTCTCTGGTTTGTTACTCCTTAGCTTTTCTCCTGTGTTGGATTCATCAGCCTACCTCTGGCCTCTCCCTCCTTCCCTTCATGCCAAATGCCATGCATGGACCTTGCTTCAGGAGAGGCCTGCCGAGCAAGTACTCATACGTACTGGTCATCGTCCCACTGCAGCCAGTCACCTGTGTGAGTTGAGTCCCAGTCCTGGCACAGCCCCACATAAATACCTTTAGAGACTCCCTCTTTTCTGCATGTGACAGGACATGCTGGCCATGTGTGTTCCCTGCACTGTTAGAATACTAGAGTTTTGGGTGACCCACATGGAAAGAATAAAATAGCAACAACATTTAATATTGACCAAGCACTTGGCAAAATGATACTAAAAAAAAAAAAAAGGCAGTAACCACAGTGCAAATCCAGTCTGTTTGATGGCCCCAGGGTCTTGAAAACTTAAAGCACTCCCGGTAATGGTGTCACCACTTGGTTGCCCCTCAGTGCAGGCTCTCTGTCTGACAAGAAGGGGATCCTGCCCTGATGGCACTTCTGCAACTGAGGAGACAATATTTGGATATTATTCTAGAAGAAATGCTTAGTTTTGAGACCTGGGTGAATTCAAAGGGAACCTCCATCCTGCCTCATTCCCCTGACTTGCCAACACAGACCAGGTCCTGAGGGAACCAGGGAAGACCACCTTGGACTAACAGCAGGGGGTGCTCTGCTCAAGGAGAGTAAACAGAGGAGGCTCCAGGCCTAAGGCTCCCTTCACCTGCTGGTTCACTGCGCTGTGATGACTGTACTGGGACGAGTGTTACAGAGCCGTGTCCCTGAGCACTTGCCCTCTGAGGTCCGCACTGGTCAGATCTTCTCATTTCCCCTCCCGCACCCTCTAAGCCAGAGCCCCTTCACATCAATGCCCTTTTAGGAAGGAGGCCCCTGGAACTCAGAGAAGTTGAATATTACCTACAATAGCCCACCTAGTAAGCCACGAAGCACATCTTCAACCAAGGCCAGGTGCTACTGGGGCCTGGGCTTTCATCCCTCCCAAGTAATGGGAGGCGGAGGCTGTCCAAGAGAAAATCCCGGGTTTTCATTCATAGCCATTTTCTGGAGGACAGATTGCAAGTTGCCTTAGGTTATAAAATCTGAACTGCTTCTAATTCTTATGTATTTTTCATTTGCTCATTTGGCTTTCCCTGACAACTTAACTCTTGTCCCCTACTCAAAACTGACCTTCCTCTCCCCTGTGGTATTAAACAGGGTTTGGGTGTGGCCAGGTGTGTGGGAGTGAGACCAGAGGCCAAGCGCAGAGCCCTCAGCCTGGCCTGCCATTGTCAGATGGCCTTGTCTTTGGCTTTAGGACCTACTGCTAAATAAGGGAGACCTCACAAATCACATTTCAGGAAACTTTTATTTTAATCTTGCTGTTGGCCAAAGTATGTTCAGTGTGCTGTTCCTTTTATTGGACTGCACAAAGGATGGAATGCAATAATTAAACAATGAAATGAGCACAAGCGAATAACTTGTGATTAAATCATCCAAGTTCAGTTCTATTCAGTATATGTTTATAAGCCCTACTGTGTGCTGATCACAGGGTCAGGTCTGGGGCACGGAAGGGACAAAATACGGCCCTGCCCTCAAGAAAACCAGCCTGGTAGTGAAGGATAATAGTGAACTAAGGTTGTTTTTAACTTTTTGTCCTCTAAAATAAGAACAGATGTGGCAAAACAAGTAGAGTGGATCTGATCAGAATTCACTTCTAGACCATAGGGCAGCTATATTCAATTGTGCAGCCTTTATGCAAGTGTATTCAGCTGTGATTCTTCTCATTTATAACCTTTCCAAGGACACAAAAATCAGCTAAAAGGGCAATGTTGAAAATTTCACATTGAGCCTGGCTGGCATGGCTCCATGGTTGAGCTTCAACCCAGGAACCAGGAGGTTATGTTTCAATTCCCAGTCAGGCACATGTCCGGGTTGCAGGTTGGGGGCTCAATCCCCACTGGGGGTGGTGCAGGAGGCAGCCAATCAATGATTCTCTCTCATCATTGATGTTTCTATCTCTCTCTCCCTCTGCCTTCCTCTCTTAAATCAATAAAAATATTTTTTAAACAAAAAAGATTTCACATTGAGGGTTGCATATCTAATGTCTACCCATCAATAATTTTGTAACAAGGGGTAGAGTTTTAGCCTCTAGACCAGGGGTGGCAAACTTTTTGACTCGAGGGCCACAATGGGTTCTTAAACTGGACTGGAGGGCCGGAACAAAAGCATGGATGGAGCGTTTGTGTGAACTAATATAAATTCAAAGTAAACATCATTACATAAAAGGGTACGGTCTTTTTTTTCAATAGTTTTATTCTTTTAAACGGCCGGATCCGGCCCGCGGGCTGTAGTTTGCCCACGGCTGCTCTAGACAATGGTAAAATGCTGTGAAAGAATCAGAGAAATTTCTATTTGTATTGGAGATTAATGAGGGATCCTTGTGTCAACTCTTATTTCCTCTTTGACCTCCCACAGATGTGCTGCCTCTGGGACTAATGAAAATAGTCTGACCACCAGAGCTGCAGGGTACTTGCATGGGGCATTCAGGTTTAAATGATCAAGGAATGTAGAAAATGTGGCTCATTCAAAGGATTAAACTTGCAAGAATTAATAAACTCCAGACAGCCAGGCACACTGGAGTTCAAAATAGACTCTTCCCTTGCAGAGCGTCCTAAGTAATCTCTAAGCCTGTTTCTTATTAAAGGGATAACACAGGTGCTCCTGTGCCTGGGAGGAAGAGGGGACATATTTCATATTTAGTGATGCTCACGGCATCATAATGGGATGTAACTGTCCTGCCACAGTTCCCTTCAGGCTGGGCTGGGCAGCTCAGTATTTTGAATACTACACATAGGCAAGATGGGTAAATTACCATTAACTTATTTTATTTCCTGACTTAGGATTTCTTAACTAAATCTGATTCCCTCCTTTCCATACCTTCCCATCCCCCATTCCATCCTCACCCCACCCCAGCATGTAGTCTTATGGTTATTTTTGTAGGCTTATAATTATACTAGTGGCCCAGTGCATGAAATTTGTGCATATTAAAAGGGGATTAGAGGAAATATTTTAATATTGCTATTTCCCCTTTCTCTAATAGAAGTGTCAGAGATGAAAGGAAATTAGTAAAATGTATATGAAAATAATATATAAGTTTATTAATAAACTGGGCGGGGACGCACGCAGGTAGCATCACGTTAGCACTGGGCAGGCCTGCGTGCACCTCCGCCGGGGGCCACCCCGGGCTGGGCTGCATGGAGGCCCTCCTGGTGATGGCAGTCCCGCCCACCCACTTCTGCTGTGCATGCCTCCTGCTGAGCAGTTGTGACATTATGGCGTCCCAGACAATGTGCATATTCCTCTATTATTATATAGGAGCACTGACATCTCAACATTTGTCAGACCCAAGTGGCACTCCTGTTACCCAGATCTGCACGCAGACTTGCATTTTCTTGATTCAGTTGTTCCTCACACCCTATCATTGGAAATGCATGCTTAAACTGACTGATAACTGGCCAGAATTAATAGCCCAGCATTCTTCTCTGTCTCCACAACTGGACTCCAAATGGCTATTATACAGCAGCATAATTCATTACTTATTGGGGCCATTTAAATTATCTTTTGTGAGAGAGAACAAAGATGGCAGCGTAGGTAAATGCCTGTACTCGCCGCCTCCCATAACCACATCAAAATTACAACTAAAATACAGAATAACCATCATTCAGAACCGCCTGAAATCTGGCTGAATGAAGTCCCACAACTAGAAAAATAAAGAAAAAATCACACTGAAACCCGTAGGAGGGGTGGAATGTGCTGTTTTTTTAATTGGGAGGCCCCCTGTGAGGAGCAAGGGGTCCCAGCCCCACACCACACCCCCATCCCAGGGTTCCAGTGTTGAGGAGAAGTCCCTGTAACTACAGGCTATGAAAACCAATGGAGATTGTGGCTGAGTGACACTAAGGCTGCTGGAGACTGAAGTAGTCGCTCTTAAAGGGCCAGTGCATGAACTTCGCGCTTCCTCTGAGCTCCATTGCTGTGTGACGGCATTGGGGGAACCAGGGACATATGGACAGGAACTGGCATCAGGGCAGGAACTCAGGGCAGCTTTCTCCCAGATGGGGTGGTTGCAGGGGTCGTTGTTCCTGTGCTAGGACCTCCCCTCTCCCAGGGCTGACTAGCAGCCATATCTGAGTTTCCATTAGCATGCCCCAAACCCATCAACAAAAGGTCCAAGACCCAGCACTGGCAGCAGCCTGCCTTGTTTCTCAGAAGGGCCTCACCTGGGCATCTCCAAACCCAATAAAAGTAGCAGCCATCTGCAGATCCCTCTGTAGCTCCTGCCAGGTGGCCCAGGCAGTGGCTGACCTTGCACATTTTAGGAGGCCACAGACCCAGTGCACCCTGTGGACAGCTTCAGACCATAGCAGATTACAACTCTACACATCCACAAGTGACGCACTCAAGGGGTAGACTCAGTGAGCACCAAAGCCCCACTGAAGCAAGTCCTGCTCCAAAGGGTTGTCTCCTGCACAGTTGCTCTTCCACTGTAGACACAA